TCTTGAGACAGGATCTCATTTTCTGAAACTTGCTTTGAACTTGAGATCTTCTTGCCTCAGGCTCCTCAACCGGTGGGATTATAGGCAGCACCACTGCACCCAGCTCATCTTTTTTTTTTTTTTTTTAAGTTGGGTTCTTAATATGTTACCCAGACTGGCCTCAAATGCCTGGGCTCAAGTGATCCTCCTGACTCGCCCTCCTGAATAGTTGGAACTAAGGCACATGCCACTCTACTTATAGAAACTAATGACATCTTCCTTCTTCTTTCTTTTTTTTTTCCTTTCTTTCTTTCTTTTTTTTTTGGTTTTCCCCACAGTGCTGGGAATGAAAACCAGGGCCTTGAACATGCTAGGTATACATATAAAAATATCTACCACTAAACTATATCCCTAGCCTGATGACTTATTTTTGGTACTTGGGATTGAACTCGGGGACATTCAACCACTGAGCCACATCCCCACCCCTATTTTGTATTTTATTTAGAGTCAGGGTCTCACTGAGTTGCTTAGTGCCTCTCTTTTGCTGAGGCTGGCTTTGAACTCGTGATCCTCCTGCCTCAGCCTCCCAAGATGCTAGGATTACAGGTTTGTGCCACTGTGCCTGGCTGGCTTTTTTTTTTTTTTTTAATATTTTTTATTTAGTTGTAGATGGACACAATACCTTTGTTTTCATTTATTTATTTTTAATGTGGTGCTAAGGCTCAAACACAGTGCCTTATGCGTGCTACGCAACCTTATTCGTGCTAGACTCTACCATTGAGCTACATCCCCAGCTTGACTGATGCCTCTTGATTAGAAGATTATAACATACCAGGCACCATGGCACATGCCTGTAATCCCAGCAACTCAGGAGCCTGAGGCAGGAAATCTTCAAGTTGCCTGGGCAACTTAGTGGACACTGCTTCAAAATAAAAAAGGACAGGGGATGGGGATGTAGCTCAGTGGTAAAGCACCCCTAGGTTCAGTCTCTAGTAGTGAAATAAATAAATGAATAAGTAAATTAATAGGCTATGGATATAATTCAGTGGTACTGAAAAAAAACTATAACATTCTTTTCTGATAAGGATCAGCCTGAAGTAAGTGTGCAAAATTATCATTTTTTTTCCTCAGCATCAGATTAGCTCTTGGTGTTCCTCATATCTCCTGTCATGTCCTCCTCATGGTCCAACATGGCTATAAATTAAACAAAATGTAATTAAGATTGACAAAAATTTAATTGTTGAATGATTAAAAAAAAAAAGTTCATGGAAATCCTAATGGTGTTCATCTGGATGTGTTCTGCAATCCTTCCATGATCGCTACCCAGAAACACGCCACACTCACTTGGAAGCTTTCCATGGTACCATTTGAAAAGAGAAAACAGTAGAATATTTGAATGATTGATTGATTAAAGAAATAAATCAGGTTCTATATCCACTTTTAATGATGTGAACTTTTTGGAACCTCTGGTTAGAAATGTACCACATATCCAGCCCTTTTAATTTTCTCAGAGACAAAGCCCAGTGAGAGAATGGAAGTTCCCCAAGGTCACACAGAAAGCCTGTAATAGACACAGGTCAAGAACCATGGCTCTTATTCTTTATACTGAGTTTGCTTGGCCTGAGCCTGTCACTCTCCCCTCATCTCACACTCACATAGTCTTCCCCCAAGAGCCTGTTGCTAAAGGGAAAGAAAAAAATTTTTTTTCTTAGTGCTGAAGATTGAACCTAGGCCCTTGCACATGCTAAGCACACACTATACCACTGAGCTACACCCCCAACCAAATGCTGATATATGAAATTAATTTTTTTTTGGTGGGGGGGGGATACCTAAGATTAAACTCAGGGGCACTCGACCACTGAGCCACATCCCCAGTCCTATTTTGTATTTTATTTAGAGACAGGGTCTCACTGAGTTCCTTAGTGCCTTGCTTTTGCTGAGGCTGGCTTTGAACTCTGGATCCTCCTGCCTCAGTCTTCCATGCCACCACATCTGGCTTTAATTTGATTTTTGTATGGCTTGTGGAATTCTTTCTATGGTGACAGTTAAATCATCAGCTGCTTTCTGGAGGACATATAAGACCTGCCCATCTGGCCCCACCTCCCTGGCTTCATCTCCTGCCCCTGCTTTCCTGCCCAGTGCACATCTCCTATACTCTGCTTAGAATTTCCTTGGAAACCCTTCCCTGCCTCTCCCCAAGTCTGGCCTGAGTGCTCTGCCTCCCTGTCCCCATCATGGCCTACCTCACCTGGTATTATAATTGTCTACTTGCCTGCCTCCCTTGCTAGCCTAAGTGCCATGCTGGCATGAGCCCTCTTACTTATCACTGTGTTCCCAGAGCCCAGAGCAGGGCCTGACCCATGATAGCTCTGTGAGTCTCTGTGGAGTCAATAATTGGATCTGCCACTTCTGGAACACTTCCTCTTCTCTCACAGAACAGAGCCTCTGCAGAGGGTGCTTCTGCTGCCATACCCGTCAGTTCTATCTCCTTAACTTGTCAAAACCCAGTTCAAAAATCCACAACAATCAACAGTTCTGTTGATTGAAGCCTTCTTCCTCAGACTTAATGTCGCCAGGCCCCACACACATTTACTCTCCCTTCTTGCTTCCATCCTCCTTGCCACCCCATATCACTTAGGACCCTATTGATCCTGTAGAAAGTAACTTTTTACCCTGGCCCCTGGCACCTACACAGTGCTGGCTATTGTGCTAGATCCTTGGATTTTAGCAGTGAACCTAGCTAGTAAAAATCCCTGTCCTTGCTGGGTATGTAGAGTACCCCTGTATCCCAGTCACTTCAGAGGTGAAAACGGGAGGATCACAAGCACAAGGCCATCCTGAACAACCTAGCGAGAACTTGTATCTAAAATATAAAAAGGGCTGTGGATGTACCTCGATAGTTGAGTACCATAGCACCCCCAGATTCAATTCTCAGGATTTGGGGGAAAAAATCTTGTCCTCATGAAGCTCACATTGGCGGTGGGACAGGCTATAAATAAGTAGGGCTGGGGGTGTACCTCAACCTTAAAGTGCTTGCCTAGCATTCATGAGGCCCTGGGCTCAATCCCCAGAGCTGCAAAACAAACAAACAAACAAACAAAAAAGAGAAGAAAAGAAATAGAATGAGAATCTGTTAGAAAGTAATGAGTGTTGCAGACAAGAATAGAGCAGGGAAGAGGGACAGGGATAGATAGCAGGGGAGGTTGGAGGAAGCCTGGAAATCTTAGGACGAGGCACAGACCTCCAGATTTGCACTGGCTGGGCAAAGGTCTGGAGAGGGGCGCAACATATGATCCAATTCCACACAGGGGTTGTTATGACCAGAGAGGTGGGGAGCAAAGGGGACAGTATAGAAAACGAGGATAGAGAGGAAAAACAAGTCTCCAGATCAGACAGGCCTGTGGGTGGTAAGAAGGACTTTGGCTTTTGCTCTGAGATAGGAACCATGAGCAAAGATATGACCTGATCTCATCTTAACAGAGCCACCCTGGCTGCTATATTGACTAAAGGGGGGCAAAGGCAGAAATGAGGCCATGAGGAGGCTACTGTAATGACGTGATAGGGGAGGGTGCTTGGAGCAAAGTGGTAGAATCAGAGAGTAGTGGGAAATCAAAGATTCTACATTTTTTACCTGAGCAATAGAAGTATGGAGCTGCTAGAAGTTGAAATGAAGACTATGGGAGGAGTAGGATTGATGGGAAGATCAGGATGTAACCAGAGGACAAATGGAACTTTGAGCAAGTACCTAAGTACCCAAATCTGGGCTTCAGAGGAGATGGTCCAGGCTGGAGGTATACATTTGAGCATCACCAGCATAAAGATGCTCTTCAAAGCCTTGAAGACCAGATGAGATCTCTAAGGAAGCAAGTGTTCCAAGGATCAGTGAGTGATCCACCAGATCAAATGCTGCTGAGGAGTCCAGAAAAAATGAGGCCTGTCAGTGAATGAATAAATATCAGATTCCTTTAGATTTGCAAAGTACAGGCATGATAATGGTTAACTGACAATAAATGGGTACAGAGACAAGATGGATGTAAGTCACAGAACACTGGGAGACACAGGGAATGGAAGAACTATGGCATCTTTGTGTTGAGAGGGACCTTAAAGAGATCTTTTAATCTGTACGCCTCTCTCTACCCTGCCTGAAGACTGAATCCCTAGTTCTAGAATAAAAAATATCTGTGGGATACTGGGGCAACTAATCTGGGTATGCCATTTAGACAAAGCACAGGTGAAGAATGGGAGAAAGGGTAGCTCAATAAATGCTGGACAGCAGATACAGAGAAAGGAATTGGAGATGATGATCTCCTGGACTCAGGTCTTGCATCTGCTGTTTCCTGATCTCCTGTTCTTCAGAAACTCACTTCACATGCCCAAACCTCAGTTCCACGGTATGTAAAATGGGAGCAAGCAAAATTCCTCGTTCCTCCCACGGTTGAAGTGAAGTCTGAATATAGTACTGTCTGTCCTCAGTGGGTCTGTTGATGCGGCATGTGAAGAAGTGAAACAGGATTCAGGCCAGGACCTAAGCTGGAAGGGAATGGACAGAGCTCGGTGGCAAAAGAGGGCCATCTAGACTGAGACTAAGGTCTTGCATCTGCCTCCATTGAGCCTGGAACAGAGATGAAGGAGACCCTGAGGCAGTGATAGGGAAAAGAAATGGAGACACCGAGGCAGAGACCCGGAGACCCAGAGGCAGGGAGACTAAGAGATAAACAGACCCCCAAACAAGCGGTCTCAGAGGGGCCCGAGGAGACCGGGAGAAGGCGAGGCACTGGAGCCCAGACCCTGCCAGAGCAGCGATCCCGCGCAGCGCAGGGTCCCAGTGGGGCTCCGGCGGCCGCACTCACTGGGCGCCCCCGCCCGGGCCGCTCGCCCAAGATGGCGATGGAGGGGCGGGCGAGGCGGCAGCGGCCCCGGCCCCCGCTCGGGCCCGGGCCCCCGAGGCCGCGCCCCCGCCCGCGGCGCCGCGCCTCCCCGGGCCACTGACGCCCGGCGCGCCCTCCCCCCGCGGTGGCGGTCGAGGCGCCGGGAGGCGGCGGCGGCGGCGGCCCGACCCGGCCCCATGGCGCGGGGGGACGCTGGCCGCGGCCGCGGGCTCATCGCGCTGACCTTCTGCCTGCTGGCCGCGCGCGGTAAGGGCGGGCGCCGCGGCAGTGGCGGGAGTGGCTGCGGTGGGTCGGTGCGCCCGCGCCCTGGGCTGCGCTGGGCTGTGGGGCTGGCGTGCGTGCCCGGTCCGAGTGAGTGCTGGGGCCGTGGTCGCGAGTCCTTGTGCCTGTTATGCCTACGCGTGGGGACTGCGGGACGCGGCCGGGGGTCGTTTGAGGAGCGTTCTTGTCCGCAGGGGGTGTGTGTCCTTGGTTCGCAGAGTCTGGAGTTGTGTGTGTGTGTGTGTGTGTGTGTGTGTGACTGAGGGGTGTCCTACGGGTGTACGTGTCCGCAGTGCGTGCCATGGTCGCAGCGCGGCATCCGTGGCGCGAGCGGCTGTGGTGTCGGTGGCTCGCTCAGGGCATGCTCTGCTGTGCCCGCATGTGTCTCCGGGCTGAAGGTGTGTGAGAAAGAGGAGGGGAGTGGGAGTGTGTGCGTGCACCTCCATTTGTGTCGAGTGCGTGTGTAACTGTGTTTATGGGGCTGAGCTAATATTTTGGCCTTGGCTTTTGGGGAGTGTCCTTGTCCGTGTTTAGGGGGACAGCAGTAGATTCCAGATTGACTGAGGAAGACGGTAACAAAACACTCAACTTTGCCCAGTGGGTGTGGTCCCTAGGGCCAGTTGGGGGTGGGGGTGGAGGTCTTGCTCCCCCAAACCTGTGACCTGGAGTGGATTGGGGGATGGGGCAGGAAACCAGTTGCTTTCATGGACGTTTCCAACACTCTCAGGATGGGACGCGTGTCATGCCTGCCCCACCCCCAAAGGGCCGATCAGGAAAGCGTGGACGAGGTCAGCAAGGCCTCCTCCAGTTCCCCACCCAGGGCGAGGTAGGGGTAGGGCCAGAAGCCACAGTTGCCCAAGCTGGAGAGAGGGCTGGGGAGGGGGTGACGGAACCGCCAAGTGTGTGTGGCCAGGGCTCCTTCTACCCATAGCCTCTAGCTTTCGGTGGGTTGTGCGTCTGTTGGGCGGCCCACGGGACGGTAGGTGGTAGGGCTGGGAGGGGGATGGGCTGCCCGCTTTGTTCGCCTAGTTCTTGCCTTCCCTGTGGAGGGGGGAGCTGAGGATGTGTCCGGGGAGAGTCGGGGAGGGACTTGTCGGTGGGGGTGGGGAGGGGGATTTCTCTCCAGCTGCTGCGGCTTTCCAGAGAGACTCAGCCAGGCCACGTGGGAGAGAGGCAGGGAGGGCGATGTCGCGGGGGAAGGAGCCTCAGCCTGGCCAACCCCAAGCCCATCTCCAGGAAAACCGCGTGTGGGAAAGTGCAAGGAACTATTGGGACCCCTTCTCTCCGTACAAAGACACGCCCCTTTCCAGCCTGGACTGTGGACTGGGCTGGACGCCTTGGCTCGGGCAGCGGAAGCTGGGGGCCCTCGGAGTTCTGTCAGGTGAAAGCGGCCAGGAAGTGTCAGAGAGGCTTCTGTCCTCCCGGAGCCCAGAGGATTAAAAAACAGTTTTGCCCCTTCTCCCGCCCTTCTTTTCCAAGAGCTCCAGGAACGAACTTAGTGTTACCCAGCAAAGAGGGATCAGGGTTGGGAATTGCACCCACGCTTTATGGAATACCGTTGGGGCCTCTGGCAAGGGGCTTAGCTTCCCTTTGGAGACCTGGCCTCTCCTGGCTCCTGAGTGCACAAGGCCGGGGAGGGCCCAAGCTGCCTGCGCTCTGACCTGGTACAACATCTACTCTGCTTGCCTCCTTTGAGTGTGCAAAGCCCAACAGGCCTGGGGACACGTCTATAGAGTTCTGATTAACCACCCTAATCTGGACCAAAGTCATTCATTCGTTCCACAATATTTACTGAACAATTCTTATAGGCTAGCATGTGCCTAGAATATAGTAAATAAAAAGTCAGACCAAGTCCCTAGTGGGGAGTTTTCAGTTGTGGGGTGGAGGGAGACAACTGACAAATACCTTGCAGAAAAGAGGCTCCTAAGCCAGTCTGGGAAAGTCAGGAAAGGCTTCCTGGAGAAAGTGGTGAATAATAAGACTGAACAGAGGGGGAGCCAATCCTGTGCAAGGATAATGATGACAAGAAAGTTTTCCAGAGAACTGCATGTGCAAATAAATACTCAGAGGTGATTGAGTTTAGATCACTGAATGAAGCTAAATCCCGCTGAAGTTGAGAATGCAAGTTGTGGGAGTTAGGCAGGTAGGAGTGGGATGGGCCAGGGATCAGAAGTATCTGGAGAGGAGGCTGAAGAGGGCAGCCAGACTCAGCTCACAAAGGGCAGTATCAGCTCTGCCACAGTTTCTGGCCTGAAAGCCCCTGGTGAATCCTGGGCTCAGCTTTGCATCAGCTCACTCCAGCCAGTGTGGAGAATTGATTGGACAGGCCTGGAGGCAGGAAGCTCCAGCTTCTTGGGAGGCTGTAGTAGTAATCCAAAAGAAAGGATGGTGGCAACTTGCAAAGTAGCAGTTGGGGTGGCCAGAGTGACTGGATCCTAGAGATATTAAGGAAATGGAATCAGGAGGACCTGAGGATAGATTAAGTTTGTAGGGAGTAAGGAAGAGGAAAATAAAAAATAATAGACCGATCAGCCACCCCACCATGGGACAAGATTATAACAGTGACTGCCCCTCTCCTTGTCAGCATTGTCCTTGAGTCAGGGATTGGAGACCATAGAAACATTTTTTAGGAAAGGAACTCTTGCTTGGGGACAGTGATGGAAGGCTGGGCTTTTTCACCACATGAAAGAAGTGGGACTCCCCTTTCCACCCAAGTTAGACTTTGGGGTATGAATAACAACAGGAGGACCCAAGGATATGGGAGCATTCTCTTCACCTGGGAATACCTCCTTCCCTCCCATCCATTTCTAGGCTCAGAGGCCAGTCTCAGTCAGTTGGGGTGGCCCTCTCTAAACACCATCTTTGAGGTTAGGAGTCAGGTCAAACATTGGGAACTTCTCTTAATAGTGAATCTTATCCAGAAGTTATCGAAACCTTCATTGATCCTATAAGCGCTTTCATCGCCTAGATAATAGCACATTTATGTGAAAATTAATATTTCCTGTCTTTTCTCTTAAAGTTAAGGGATCTCACAATTAGAGCATACAGAATATCAGCACTGAAAGAGACCTAGGAATAATTTTTAGCATAAACCCATTTTACAGATGAGAATGGAATAATTCCCAAAGTTACATAATTAGAGACTGAACTGGGGCTAGAACCAGTCTCCTGGCTCTTGGACATTGTACTGTAAGGCCAGAGCAGCCACCCTTTCCAGGGATTTGGAACAAAACATACTCAAGTTCACCCTCTTTGCACTTCTCTCTTCTCTCCACCAAATGAGAAGTTATCAGCTTCAGGCTTGCCCTGTCCCCATATGCAGTCAATCTGGGATCCACCCTTTTCCTTGTCTCACTCCTCAAACTCTTTCGATTCCCTCCAGTGTCTCTGAGGTAGAGCAACCAGTCTTGACATAGAATTCCAGATGAAAAACAGATGTCATTGCTAGACAGGCCTGGGGGCTCCCGGTTTCCAGGAGAACAGGAGGAGTAAGAGTGGCCCTGAGAGATAGGACCCTACCCTGGTCAGAGGTGGGTGACCGAAGCTAAAAGTTGGGGAAGAAGGACCCACATGCTGTTTCTGAGCCAGCAGAGCTGCCAGCTTCTTCAATGCTGGGGCTCAGGCATCCTTTGGATTTAGAGGATGGTGGAATCCCTGGAGTCAGGGAAGCGGAAGATCAATAATCTCTCTCTCAGGTGCAGACCCAAGACTCCTGGATGATTTGATAAGGGGCTCATTACCTTGTCACATAGTTTGGAGGATGGAGTTCTGATGAGTGAGCAGAGAGCATACTTGGAGACACAGGTGGGTGCAGGAGAAAGATATTTTTAACCATTGAGCCATATAACAGGAGAACAGGGAAGCTAATGAACTCCTAGCCCTGGTAAGGTTTCTTTCAGTGTGCATTTGCTGTTCTGTGTGCTTTTGAAGCATTTTGTTAGGTGTCTAGTAGGTGTTGTGTGGTATGCTCAGGAGTCTCTAGAAGTATTATTTGCATCACCCCCAACCCTAAGGGAGTTGCTATTATTTTTACAGATAGGAAGACTGAGGCTTGGAAAAGCATGAGGGGCTTTTCGTCTCATCTTTTCGAGTAACTCTGCATGCCCACCCATCCATTCAAGTTATGTGTATTGAGCACCTTCTATGTGTCAGGCTCTGTTCTAGACACTAAAGAGGTACACAGCTGGCTAGAAAGCAATCATGAGTCTGTTGCCTAACTGGAGAAAAAGACAAGTCAAAAATCTAGACCAAGGGGCTGGGGATGTAGCTCAGTTGGTAGAGTGCTTGTCTCGCATGCACAAGGCCCTAGGTTCAACCCCCAGCACCACCAAAAAAAAAAAAAAAAAAAAAATCCTAGAGCAATGACTACCGTGATGCAGATGCCCAGCATTCTGTGGGGCAGAGGAAGAAGAGGTATCAAAATCAGACAGGGTGTCACACCAGGTTCCAGGGAAAGGGAACAGCGCCTGTGGCACACGGAACTGAAAGTGGTTTGCTATGTATGGCGGGGGACTGGTGGGAGTCTCAGTGGAGCAGGAGGTAGGCAGGCCAAGCCCGGTGTGGTTTGCTGCTGACGCTGAGCCTCTCCACTCCGGAGGGAGGGTCAAGGCCTTCCTTGTGTCCCAGGCAACGCCCCAACTCTCCTTCCAGCTGTTGGTGGGCGGGGCTTAGTGCGGGGAGGGGAGGGCAGGGGGCGGTAAGGGAGAGGCTCAAGCTCTGGAAGAAACTGACTTGTGTCCCCTGGGAGGAGAGAGCAGTGGTGGTGTCCTGGAGAACTGCCCCGAGGAAAACAAGCTGCAAATTTGTTGGGTCCTGAAACTTAGAAGTGACAAGGAACTGATGTTTGTGGCAATTTCTGGGCCTAATGGAGAGAGGGACTTGGCTTTGTTCCCCTCTCCCACCCCCTTCCCCTGGAAGCTGGAACTCACCCTGGGCTCCCTTCAGCCCACCAAAGGGCACCGAGCTGGCCCTGGGCATGGCAGCGAAATCTCCTTTCTGACTGAGTTCTAACTAGCTTCATAAAATCAGTGTAAGTGGGTAAAATAATGTGTCAGAAAAAAAGAGACCGAGAAATGACTCTGGGGTTCCCAAATGCCGAGACTCTGGGTCTCACCAGGTGTCACAGAAAAGATTAAGGAGAAGGGATTGTGGGGGAGGGAGGCCCCTTCCAGGCAGAGAACTGGCCCCAGCAAATATCCACTGGTAGGCATGGTGTGTCAGACCCAGGCCTGGGAGGGACCGCTCAAAATCCTGTGGGAGGGGCTTTAGGGGTCTGCCCTGCAGTGCAATGGTGGTGGTGGTGGCAGGAAAGAGGTAGCTAGACAAACAAGGTCTGCTCCAAAGAGCATCACTTTTATGAAAAGATTGTATGCAGTATTATATATAACTATGATGTACCAATACAAAATTTAAAAAATAAATTACAATGTGGTTATCCTTAAAACAAAGATTTGATGGTGAAGGAACCACATTTATATTAACATTGCAGCTGGGCGAGATGGCACACGCCTGTAATCCCAGCAGCTCCGGAACCTGAGGCAGGAGGACCTCTAGTTCAAAGCCAGCCTCATCAATTATCAAGGTCCTAAGCAACTCAGTGAGACCCTGTCTCTAAATAAAATACAAAAAGAGGGCTGGGGTTGTAGCTCAGTGGTACCGCACTTGCCTAGCATGGGTGAGGCACCAGGTTTGATTCTCAGCAACACATAAAAATAAATAAAATAAAATAAAAGTATTGTGTCCATCTTCAACTTAAAAATACATACATACATACATACATACATACATACATACAAAAAGAGCTGGGGATGTGGCCCAGTGGTTGAATGCCCTGAGTTCAATCCCTAGTACTGAAAAAACCAAACCAAAACAAAACGTTGCTGCTTTGTAGAAAAGAATGGACAGTGTACTAGAAGTTTAAAAATAAAAACATTTCAGGCAAACAGGACACCTCATATGTACCTTCTCTGCTGTTAGGAGAATTTGATGAAAATGTTTGAGAAATTTGGAGACTCCCCATTTTAAGTTGAGGAAACTGAAGCTGAATAGAGGAAAGAAACTGACCCAAGATCATGCAACCAATAACTGGACCTAGAGCCGGAGTCTAACTCCAAAGTCAAAGTTTGTCCCATCTCATCCCATGTTTGTTTAGGCAAGAGGAAAAAATAGTCAGGGGACCTTCAAGTGGCCTTTGATGTGAGACTCAAGAAACACTGCAATTGGGGAAAGCAGGCTGCAGCCTCACAGAGAGGCTGGCAGTGTGGGTGGAGTCCCCAAAGTACCAGTCTGAGGCACAGAAGTCAGGTGGGGCACTGAGGCAGAGAAAAACCTCTTACTCAGGAGCAAGTGTCGGTGCAATGCTGGGTTCATCTCCAGAAAGTCAAAGAAAGGCTGGGCACAGTGGCACACGCCTGTAATCCCAGCCCCTCAGCCCCCTCAGCCCAGGAGGCTGAGGCAGGAGGATGGATAGTTCACAACTAGCCTAAGCAAGGGCAGGCGCTAAGCAACTCAGTGAGACCCTGTCTCTAAATAAATGGGGGATGTGTGGCTCATTGGTTGAATGTTCCTGAGCTCAATATATGGTGTCCAAAAAGAAAAAAAAAAAGTCAGAGGAAGTTCACCCAGACTCTTGCCTCCCAGAGATATGAGACACCATCCTCACACATCTCTGGACCTCAAGTTCCCCACTTGTTGAATGAGGATCCTCAGATTTCACAGGCATTTCCACTAAAATGGGTCATCTTGGGATCCTGGCACAGCACTGCTGCTCTCTGAGGGGGACCCCCTGTTCTCTGCATCTCCATCTCTGCTGGTTTCCCTGTTTTGCCTTGCTGGGCTTCCTCAGAGGCGGGGAAGCCAGACATCTGCCGATCCATGAATATTCAGGAAGGGAATCGGAGCCTCCTCTGGGCTCCCCAGCCAGCCGCCAGCCCCTCTGGCCGCCGTCCTGCCCGCCAGAGCCCAGGCTGCTGACATACCCAGCAGCTGCTCAGGGCCCCAACTGTTCACATTGTTTGTTCAGCACGGCAGGGGATTTTCCAAGCCCTGGATGTACTTTAGGGGGCGGGGAGGCTGCCCGAGGGCCCAGGGATTCATGTCATGTGGGGCTTTTTTCTCCCCTGAAACCCAAACCAACTGCTCAGCGGCTGGAACAGGGCATTTTGAAGCCACTGGGCTGAGAGCCCGGGCTCGCCTTCCTCCAACCCCGTGTTTGAGTCAGGAAATTCAGGGCCTTAGAGATAGAAAGATCGGAGTGTTGAGTACAGCAGTCAGCATTCCTGCAACCTTTACAACGGAGAAAGTGCACTTAAAGAATGAGCTCCTGTTCCTGGAGTGATGGCCGTTGGCTCTGGCCGGAGCCCTGAAATATATCATCTCGTTTAATTCTCACAGGCTCTCAGTGTCATCTTCATTTTACACACGTGGAGACAGTCCCGGAGAGGTTAAGTGGCTTGTCACATAGCTGATAGGTAGTGCAGCAAGGTCAGTGGTCTTGCCACCACCATCACGTGACTGCTCTGAATGCCTGTTTGCTTTCTTCAATTAGAATGTAAACTCTGCGCAAGGGCAGGTGCTGCCTTCTCCTTCCCTGCACCCACCAGTCCCGAGGCCAGCTGTGCAGCTGGACATGTCCAGCAGAACCTCTCTGATGGATTAAGAGAGGTAGTCGTTTGCATAGGACCTTCTTGACCTTCAGACCCTGGATTCTGCCCTAGTTCCCTTATCTCAGGCAGTCGGGACTCCTCTTCTCCCCTTGGCCTTGCTCCTCTTTGGAGGTTGTGGAAAGGGAGGCTGAAAACATACTATAAGGATCTAAGTGTTGAAAGACAGACCGAATGTGCATGTGTTTAGGCCACACAGTAGACTGTGAGAGACCTGGGTCTAGAACTAATGGTCTTCTGATTCTGTGGCCATCATGCTTTCTCCCCCATGTGGCACTGTCAGTCCCAATCTGCCTTATAATGAGTATGGGCGATGGTCCTCACCTGTGCCTCCGGTTTACTCTCAGACGTGCATTCTGTCCTGAAATGAAAAGTCAGACCAGAGGATAAGAAGGGATCTTGAATTCTTATGGGACAGGAAGACAGCGAGTCAACCTTCTGGAAGGTACCAACCACTTCTCTATGAATAATGGTGACGGGGCCTTGCTGAAATGTTGGTTGAGTTGCCTTTTGTGGTTTTTGCCTTGACCCTGGGGTGGCACTTCCTTCCTGCCTTATTCCCTCCCTCTTCCCTTTGGTAAGGGCAGTGTTGGGGTCTGCAGGCTTTTCTGGGGCCTGGGTCAGGAGACCCAGGTCTTGACTCCAGCCTCCTGTGTGTCCTTGAAGACATTAGCCGCAGGAAGAAGCCTCCAGAGCTGAAGAGGCCTGGAAGGAGCTGCAGGAGCCTCCTGTGGGCTTGCTTGGAGTCTAGCTAGAGCCTCGCCCCTACCTGGATGGACAGGGAGCACTTAGTTTTCCCAGCAGGGCTGCTCACCTGTCTGTTGTAGAGAAGAAGGGGATTCTGGCTTTCTTTCATCCAGAAGGCTCCACAAACCAACTGGGACTTATTTTTATGTTGTTTATTCAATATATATATGGATTCACATGCATGTTCTCACTCACTTACTTAAGTACTCTGAATATAGTTTAAACATTTCCTGGCTACAATAATTTTCTAGCCCTTGGCATATTTTTGGTGGGGTAGTAGTGGTCAACATGAACTGCTGGGTTCCACTCTGTGCCTGGCCGTGCTGCACTCTTCTCACACACCATCTCATTTAATGCTCACAGCAGCCCTACGAAGAAGGTTTTGTGTTGTTTTGTTTTAATCAAGGTATAAATCACACACCACAAAAATCACCATATATAGTGTATATGTCCATGGTTTTTAGCATATTGACTAGGTCGTACAGTGTTGGCAGCTATCTCGTTCTAGAACATTTTCACTACCCCCAAAAGAAACCTCATGCTCATTAGCAGCCACTCCCCATTCTTCTCTGCCCACAGCCCATGGGAACCATTACTTTACTCTCTGTCTTTATGGATTTGCCTATTATGGGCATTTCATGGAAATGAGATCATGCAGCATGTGGCATTTTGTGACTCGCGTCTTTCACATGGCATGAAGTTTTCAAGGTTCATCCACATCAACACAAGCGTCAGTACCTCCTTCCTTTTCCCGGCTGAGTAATAGGTGTACCTGTTCGTGGGGCGGGAGCATTTGGCTACTGTGTGTGATGCTGCTGTGAACTGGACCTTTTGGTGGGTGAAGAAGGTAAACAGTCGGGAAGCTGGGCACAGAGAAGTGCAGCATTTTCCCAGAATCACAGGGAGCAAGAGAAGAGCCGGGTCCAGGTCCAGGTCTTCCCAGGAGACCTCTTTCTTAGTGGTTGGACCTAACTCCTGGGTGGTGGCTCTGGAGCAGAGACTGGGAGTGGGGAAGAGCCACGCTGATAGCCCCTGTGTCTCCTCCTCTGCGCAGGAGAGCTGCTGTTGCCTCAGGAGTCGACTGTAGAGCTGAGCTGTGACGTGGGGCCGCTGCGTGTGATCTTGGGCCCAGAGCAAGCTGTAGTGCTGGACTGCAGTCTGGGGGCTGCTGCTGCTGGACCCCCCACCAGGGTGACGTGGAGCAAGGACGGAGACGCCCTGCCAGAGCTTGATCACCTGCACCTACTACCCAATGGCTCCCTATGGCTGTCCCAGCCACTAGCACCTGATGACAGTGACGAGGCAGCCTCTGAGGCCTTGGGGGTCATTGAAGGCAGCTATTCCTGCCTGGCCCATGGTCCCCTCGGAGTGGTGGCCAGCCAGGCTGCTGTGGTCAAGCTTGCCAGTAAGTACTTGCATCTGGGGGCTGGAGCTGAGGCCCAGGCAACCTGTAGTGTGGGACGTGGGATCTGAGTTGGTTACTTGCACAAATGCCTATCTCCCCGGCCCACTCCCCTGTCCCCTGCCTCTCTTCCTGCTCAATGTCCCTTCCTGGTATTGTCACCCCTCCCTGTTCAGTCTTCCTTCCCTCCTCTTCTCCACTTCTCTGTTCCTCCTTTTCTTGCCCTCTGAGCGTGGAGTTGTGCTGTCGTCCAGAAAGCCTGTCGAGAGGCTTGGGAGAGGTCACAGGCCCAATGGTGCCCCTCTGGGAGTCCCCCACACAGCGGGCAGCGTGTATGGAGCTCTGTTGCCCTCTTACCCTGCTCTTGGGTGCTCAGGAACCACAACTCAGTAGCAAATAATTTGGGGGCCAAAAGAGGAGTGCATCTTACTGTAGTGTGACCATCATGGTGATGCCATGGAGATGCCATTTCAAGGGGACCTTGAAATTCATTCTGCCAGCAGCATCTGACCAATAGTCACCACTTTTTATCCATTGGCTGCCTCTGTCCAGCTATCTCCCCAGCTATCTCCCCTCGTCTGAATTTGTTGTGCTGTGCATTTCCGTGACTCTGTGTGTGTTCGCTGTGCTCACTGTGGTGTGCCCCCCCCATGCTCCTGTCCTGTCTCTGCCCATGTCTCACTGTCCTCATCTCCAGTGCTCGAGGACTTCTCTCTGCACCCGGAGCCTCAGATGGTAGAGGAGAATGGGACAGCTCGCTTTGAGTGCCACATTCAAGGGCTGCCAGACCCTGTCATTACTTGGGAGAAGGACCAGGTGACATTGCCTGAGGAGCCTCGGTAAGTGTCCTGTGGGAATGGGTCCCTGTGGGAATGGGTCCCCATGGGCAGGACAGACAGGACTCCAAGATGGGCTCAGAACTGGGATTCTTAGTGCCAATGTGGTCCCAGTTCCCAACTCCTAGCGCTCTGCTGGCCTTTTTTTTTTAATATATATTTTTAAATTGCTGATGGACCTTTATTTTATTTACTTATTTATATGTATGCGGTGCTGAGAATCGAACCCAGTGCCTCACACGTGCTAGGTGAGCGCTCTACTGCTGAGTCACAACCTCAGCCCTCTGCTGGTCTTAAAGAGAAGTTAGACAAGAAATTTTTGCTCCCTGGGAGGAAAGCTACTCACCAAGCCAACAAGAATCCATCAGAGCACATTAGTCTGACCGTGGCTCTGTTGAGGAGACTGAGGTCCAGAAGAGCTGTGGTCTGTCCAAGGCCACACTGTGAGACGTTGGCAGAATGTTGGTTTTTCACTCAGGGCCCTGAGGCTGAATTAAAAACTCTCCAGTAGTGGTAGAAGGTACAGGAGAGACTCCTGGGTAGAAAAACTACAGGATATTTGTGAGGGCAAAGTTACAGAAGAAGGGTAAGAGGTCAGGCTATAAGAGATTCTTAGTGATGGCTTAGAGCCCACCACTCCTTAGCCTGTCAAATCTTGCTAGCCTTGTTTTCCCCGCCTATGAAACAAATGGGAAAGAAAAGGGGGTTCATTTATTTTATTTTTTTATATTTATTTTTTAGCTTTAGATGGACACAATATCTTTATTTTATCTTTATGTGGTGCTGAGGATCGAACCTAGTGCCTCACGCGTGCTAGGCGAGCACACTACTACTTGAGCCATATCCCCAGCCCGGTTCATTTTAGATCATGGTTTCCCAAAGTGTGTCTTTGTAGAACATCAATTCCAGGCAGATGAGCTGGGCAAGCAAGAACCAATCGAGAGCCTACTCCTCACAGCCCCCGAGAGGGTGGGAGAGCAATGACACCCCCCACACCATCAGCACAGGCTCCACTTAATGAGAGCTTCCCTTGGTCCAGGCACTGTGCTACGTTTTGCATGTTTTCTTATTTTTTTCTTCCCATCATCCTTCAAGGTATTTCTAATTTTTCAGTTTTTCTCTATTTACTTTTAATTTCTATTCTTAGCAGATGCATTTTAAAATTCATAGAACCAAAGAGGTAGAAAAGGCTCAGAAGGCTGAGGCAGGAGGATTGCAAGTTCAAAGTCAGCCTCAGCAATTTATCTAGATTCTAAGCAATTTAGCAAGACCCTTTCTCAAAATAAAAAATAAAACGGGCTGGGGATGTGGCTGAGCAGTTAAATGAATTCAATCTCCGATACAGGGGGAAAAAAAGTAGAAAAAAGTATCCATTATCTTATCACTTGTAGAAAATTGTTAGCTGTTTGTTTTTGGTGCTGGGGTGGAACCCAGGGCCTCCCATGGGCTCTCCTGAGCAGCGCCTCTGTCCCCTCATTGGTAGTTTTCATGTCTGTCCTTCTGGACTTTTTTCTTATGTGTTTGTAAATATTATTTTTAAATTTTTGAATATATTGTATATACTGGGTTCTTTGTTCAGTCTCAAAACAAAGTTTTTTCACTTAACATAATGAACATCCTTTAGGATTTGTGGGTATGGATATGGTAGAAAATTCTGTCTAAAATGTTAAAAGGAGAGATCTGAGACAGAAGTCACTTGACCTAAGTCACACAACTAGTCCCCAGAGTGTCAGACTCCTGAGCTCTGGTGTGGATGACACAGACCTCTCCTGGGTGTGATTTGGTGGTGGGGTGGGGAATGTGGGTTCTGAAGAAGTTTGTGCTATGGGTGGGGTGAGAGATCGGTTGTCTCAGTGTGGCTCCAAGCAAAGTTTCTCAGCAAATCAGTGGGGTTCAGACCATCCTTCCCAACGTCTAATTCAGACCTAATGCCATGAAGTCACAGACCTCACCCACGAGGCTAGAGCTGCCAGGTCCTGGACTCGGGGAGTGTTTGCCCCCAGGTCCTCTGAAAAGTGATCCTCATCTATAAATAAGCCAGGCTTACATGTCCCAGCACATTGTGTGGGGGAATAAAGAAATGTCTAAAACAGCAGCTGGATTACACCCAAGGTATGTATTTTTACATGTGCCCAGATATAGTGCATGTACAAATATGCTATTCAAACACTCGGCCCAGCAGTTTGAAGGAGACCATATATGTGGAGTGGGGTGTGCACATGTGCAGTTAATAGACATACTCTATCAGGGTAGGTGTGCATACTTTTGGAAGTGATAGTGAAGACTAGCCCCCAAGGCAATTCCCTGATACTTACCCATGGAAGGCAAACCTTCCATGGGAACCAGTAATCAATGAGAGCAGTGTTCCCCAAACGCCTGGCATTCATAGCCACCTTCGTAATTTTGGCCATCCTTCTGCCACTTAACACTTTTCTTAACATCATCTCTCTCTCTCTTGTAATTTTAACACATATTAACAGAGCATTATCAAACCAGGTGTAGTGGTGTCGACCTGTAATTCCAGCTACTCAGGAGGCTGAGGCTTAAGGATCGCAAGGTTTAAAGCCAGCCTGGACAACTTAGCGAGACCCTATCTCAAAATAAAAAATAAAAGTGTTCAGGGTTCCATCCCCAGTGCCACGGGCAGGGTAGGGTGGGGGGAAGGAGAGAGAGAGACAGAAAGAAAAAAAAAATACAAAAACAGAACTTTATTGGGTTGGGGCACAGCTCAGCAGTTGAGCATGGTGCTTGGTACGCACAAAGCTGTGGGTTAATCCTCAGCACCAAAAAAAAAAACCCCCAAACAACAAAAGCCCCACTATCTCACTGCAATGAAATGGAAAGCCAGCAACAAATGCCATAAATAGAAGGTAGTCATAAAAATAAATATATAACTATTCAAATAAAAAACGTGTCTGGATCCACTTGAAATCATTTTGTATCACTGTCCACCTATTTTGGGAAACACGAAACCAATGCACTTAAACAACCTGGGCTCCCTCGCCTAGCCCTCCTCTTGGCCTCTCCCAGCATCCGCCCTGTTTGCCAGGCTCAGGTAACCCTCAGCTAGCATCGCCTCTGGGGGGGGGGCGAATCTCTCAAGGGCTTAGCCCAGGGGCTCCTTGACCCTTGGAAAATTCAGAGCTGCTGGGTCCTTTCATCTGTGTTCTTGAATTCCTGGGCCTAAGTGACCTTTCAGAGATGGGGTCAGCAGACCTCAGATTGGACTTGGAAAAAGAATAAATCCTTTCGAAGAGGTTGTTTCCCATTCTATAAGTACCTACTTTGTTTTGTTTTAAATTAAAATGGTAAAATATACAACTTTACAGACCGGAGAGGGATCATCTACTGACTAAACACAGTTATTACAGTTTTGGATGTTTGGATGAGTCCTTTGAAATATGTACAGGTTTATACCATTTATCAACTTGTTTAGAGCTTGTGACTCATTGTGTTTTGTCCCATATCTAATGTGAGCTCATGACAATTAGGAGAGTCAGGGTTGTGAAGTAGGTGGGGCAGGAATCATCTAACCCATTTTTCAGATGTGAAAACTGTAACCCAGACACATAATGGTACTTGCTAAAATATATCAATTACAGCCAGTTCTCTCTACCAGGCCACTACTGCCTCTGTGTTAGAGCCCCGAGTTTTAAAAAAAAACAAAGCGCACATGAGGTTATACTTTTTTTTTTTTCTTTGGTGGTGGGGCTGGGGATTGAATCCAGGGCCTTGTGCATGCAAGGCAAGCACTCTACCAACTGAGCTATATCCCCAGCCCCTGGGGGCACATACTTTTAAAATTTAGAAGATAAAAATTTTCCATATTTCTAAACTGATAAAATTCATTGTTTAAAAAAAATATACAGGAGTCAACAAATAAAAGTCCCCAGTAGTCATGCTCCCAAAGAAAACCCCATGAATTACTGGAGCTTTGCCAACCTTGACTTTTTCTGCACACACCTGAACCTATCATTTATCTATTTTACGAAAATAGATTTGCTTCATAAACACCATTTTGCAACCCCCACCCGCCCACCCACTAACCAATTCTTGGACATCTTTCCAAGGACAGAGCTTCTAAAATCACATTTTTAACAAAACAGAAGATCTTAGATGGGCACCGACTGGATCTGCCTCACCTCCTTTGGCTGCAGCAGCAGCAGCACCCTGTTGGGGGAAGGAAGGCTTCATTCCCTCCTTGGTTCACTCCTTCATTCAGCGCAGAACGAATGAAGGGTTATCTGTCAAAGGAGGTGTTAGCTCTTGGTACGTGGAGCATGATTTCCCTGGGAAGACCAGAGATCTTTGGGGTCAGGAAGCACAGGCTGCTCCTGGTAGAAAAGTCAGCTAGCTAGACAGGGAGGAAGAGGTTTTGAACCCGAGAATATTAGGGGGCACAGACCTGGGTGGGGGTGGAGGTGGAGCCTCATTTCACATGGGTTCTGCTTGTCCTTCCCCGACTCTTCCTTTCCCATCAAGTTTTTGTGGCAGTAGACTGGGTCCTGGCCCAGGATTTCTCCTCAGTGACCTCTGGCTTCCCTGCCCCCTGCCCGCTCCACTCTAGCACTTCTGTGGGCAGCTGTTGGAGTTGAGGGTGAGAGGCTGGGGGCCTGGGGGTGGCCCATTGGTTCAAGGAAGGAGTGGTGTAGGGTTTTGTTCTTCTTTAAGTCTTTGGGCTACAGCAGGTTTTCAGGCCTGGGTCCAGAATATCTTCCGGCACTCTGCCTCCCCTACCCTTGAGCTACTTGTTCTCTCCCCTGTTTATATTTTCTCAGACTCTGATTCCCAGGGAACTAAGGGATCTTCCCCAAGCACACAATTGCCCCACTCTCTCTCACTCTGATCTTAGCCAAGCCTACAACCTAGGGCCCAACAGAGCTGTTTACCCACTGCTTGGACCCATTTTCCCATTGCTTGGGCTGGTACCCGCTCTGCTGCCTACCATCCCAGCCTCCACGGAGATCTCCCTGTCCCAAATCATAGCCTTTCTTTTTCTCTTTTTTTTTTTCCTTTGTATATATTTTTTATTTGTTCTTTTTAGATATACACGACATGGAGTATAACTTCCATTCTTGAGGTTGTACATGATGTGGAGTTATACTGGTTGTGTATTGATACATGAACATAGGAAAGTTATGTCCAGTTCATTCTTCTGTCTTTCCTATTCCCATCCTCCCTCCCTTCCCTTCATTCCCCTTTGTCTAATCCAAGGAACTTCTGTCTTCCTCTCCCTGCTTATTGTATGTTAGCATCTTCATATCAGAAAGAACATTTGACCTTTGATTTCTAGGGAATTGGATTATTTCACTTAGTCTCCAGTTCTATCCATTTACTGGCAAATACCATAATTTACTTCTTTTTTATGGCTGAGTAATACTCCATTGTGTATATATGCCACATTTTTTTCTACCTATTCATCTGTTGAAGGGCTCTTAGGGTTGGTTCCAGCTTAGTTATTGTGAATTGAGCTGCTATTAACATTGATGTGGCTGTGTCACTGTAGTATGCTGATTTTAAGTCCTTTGGGTATAGACCAAGGAGTGGAATAACTAGGTCAAATGGTGGTCCCACTTTCAGTTTTCTAAACATCTTCATACTGTTTTCCAAGTGGTTGCACTGATTTGTATCCCACCAGCAACTTACAAGGGTACCTTTTTCTCTTGGGCTTGTTTTGAGGGTCATATGAGAAGTTTGAATAGGGATTTTGCCAGAGCAGGGAGGAAATAATACCAATAAGAGGTTAAAAACTTTTGAACTGTATAGGATATATAATAAAAAATAAATCCCATGGCAGGCGCGGTGGCACATGCCTGTAATCCCAGCAGCTGAGGAGGCTGAGGCAGGAAGTTTGAAAGTTCAAAGCCAGCGTCAGCAAAAGTAAGGTGCTAAGCAACTCAGTGAGACCCTGTCTCTAAATAAAATACAAAATAGAGCAGGGGATGAGATTTAGTGTTTGAGTGTTCCTGAGTTTAATCCCTGATACTCCCCACTCCAGCTCACAGGATCCCACTTTCCCCACCCAGAGATAACCATTACCAGGTGCATTATACGCAGAAGTGCTCCCAGGCCTATTATTGTTTTGCACCCAAACACGTTCTGGAGATTGCCCTCCACCAGCAGGCCAGGAGCTGCCTTTTGTTTAACAGCTGACTTGCATTCCCTTGTATGAAGTTCCCAAACCCATATAGCTGGTCCCTTCCCTACAGAGGGACACCTGTGCTGTTTCCAGTCTTGCTCTTATAGGCAATGCTAGAGTGAATGTCATCTGACATACTTTTTTTTTGGTACACATGTATGAGACTGTCGAATGGAGTCCTAGAACTGGTGTTGCTGGGTCAAAAGGCTCATGCACTTTTTTTTTATTTTAATTAAACATTTTTTTAGATGTTGATGGACCTTTATTTTATTCACTATTTGTAGTATGTAGTGCTCAGAATTGAGCCCAGTGCCTCACACACGCTAGGCAAGTGCTTTACCACTGAGCCACAACCCCAGCCCCGGTTCATGCACTTTTGATGTTGAGCTGTTACCAGCTCGTTCTGGAAAGACTGGGTATTGTATGGCTGCTGCCAAGACAGGAGTGCTGTCTCCCCATTTCCTCATTCACGTGAGGTGTCAGCAAACCCTTTGACCTTTGTCAGTCTGACAGGTAGAAGTAGTATCTTACAGGTTCTTTGTTTTTGTTTTTTGTGATGCTGGGGATCAAACCCAGAGCTTTGTGCTACGAGGCAAGCACTCTACCAACTGAGCTATATTCATATCTTGCAGTTTTGATTGACACTTCTTTCATTGCAAACCACCTTCCCTGTGCCCCCTTCACTGTTGTCCTCTCCCCCTTTCCCAAGGCTCATCATGCTTCCCAATGGTGTGCTCCAGATCCTGGGTGTTCAGGAGAACGACACAGGCTCCTACCGCTGCGTGGCCATCAATTCAGCCCGCCAGCGCTTCAGCCGGGAGGCCTCGCTCATCGTGGCCCACAGAGGTAAGGGCCACCCAACAGGAAAACCTAAGGGTTTCTGGAGCCAGCCACCTGTGAGCTGATAGGGACCCAAGAGGCCAGACCCAGCCTTCAGGTAGGTAGTAGGGTAGTCATCCCACCGGACAGGTAAGGAGAGAAGCCCAGAGGGGCAGTGCCACCCAGCCAACTGGGCATAGATCTGGAGCTAGAAACCAAGACCTCTGCTCCCGGTGCAGGACTCCTCACTTCCTGTGGAGTTTCTGTGTTCCCCTGGGTTGGACAGAGCAATGGGGATGGCTTCTGAGAAGGGGTGCCTTTTCTCTGCTGCGTTGGAACACCCCACAACCCCACTGTGAGCCCAGGGCTCCTGGCGCTGGAGGATTCGCCCTGCTCTGCTGACTCTGCACAGCCAGTCTGGCTTCCTGAGGCCTTTTCTATTTCTGCCTGTCTGAAAAGCTCCCGCCCCAGTGTTATAGGTGTAGGAAGAGTAAAGCTTTGGGGTCAGAAAGACCTGGTTTGAATCCAGGCTGTCTACTTACCATCTGCTTGACCCTGGGCCTGCTATCAAATGTTTAGCTCAGAGATGTAGAACACTAGCTGTAGATGTGCCTGGCACTTAGCAAATGCACTGCAGATCTCATTTCAATCCTCCCCCAAGGGCCCCATGCTTCCCTTTGCTGTGGCATCCTCCCCTCCAGGATCCCCTCCCGGGTCCCCTCCCTGCTTGCTCCTGGACTTTGGTGAGGTACTCCAGAGTCTGGTTCACTTTCTCTTCTGAGCCCAGGGTCTCTGCCTCCACCTGCTGGACAAACCACGAGTTCACCATTCTGTCCAGAGGCCCAGGGTCACGCTGAGAACCTGGCAGAGATGCTGGGCTTTGGGAGCTGCTGAGCCGGCAGAAACTTGAAAACCCGCTGCCACCACTCCACCTTTTCTACATGGGAACCCAGGGCCCTGTGGGGAAGGGACTTAGCTAAGGTCACGCAGCGTGTTAATAGCAGTGCTGGAACCAGAGCTACGAATGCTGAGTCCAAGCCCTGTGCTGCCCCACCACCCTGCAGTCCTCTGGGTTGGATTTGGCAGGGCAGAATGGAGGGAGGTGTGGATCTATCCTGCCATTCCTCTGGTTCTGCATCAGAGGCCAGGCCGTTCTTCTGGTTCTAAGAGAAATCTCCGAGTTCTAGTCCCAGCTCTGCTGAACTTGGTGGCTACTTTCTCATCTGCTTGATGAAACCATGGCTGCTCCCTGCCAACTGCCTCGACAGGTGACCAGGAGCCTCGGGTGAGGTATGTCAGGTAAAGGTGCCTGCTAGTAAGGCTACCACTGGCCTGTCTTCTCTCCAGGGTCCCTGGCGGCCACCAGGGGGCAGGACGTGGTCATCGTGGCGGCCCCGGAGAATACCACCGTGGTATCTGGGCAGAGTGTGGTGATGGAGTGTGTGGCCTCGGCTTACCCCACCCCTTTTGTGTCCTGGGTCCGACAGGGTGAGTGGAAAGAGAAGGGCATAGGAAGGGGGGGACATGGCATCCCCAATCAGGGAGTCGTATGTGTGATCACTCAGTGTGGTAGGGACTGGGTGTGGTGGGCAGCCAGGTCAGGGACAGCATGGGAGAACAAACCTAGTCATCCACTGTGTGGTGTGTTTTCTTGACAAGACACGTTGGGTCTGCCACTCATGAAACTGTTTCTGTCGCTTTACTGAGGGCGGATGGGCCCTGGGTTAGAGTCTTACTTATGTCTGTTCCTCATAACAGTGTTGCAGGTGAGGGTTTGAGAACTGGAGCATGCTTGCTGGCCAGCGAGTGAACGGGAGCCAGAAGGCCACTGCTGGTTGGTGTATCCACAGCCAGCTCTTGGCCATGCAGCATGCTGCTACCTGTGTGCAGTAAACTCAAAGTACAGTTGAGCGGGAGGGACCCTGGCCTCCACACTCACAGTGTGGGTGAGGGAGATGGAGATAAACCATGAGCCCTTACCCAGGAAGAGAGGCTTGACAGTATCAGGCCAGGAGTGAGAAGCACCTCATGGACTGAGTTCCTGGAGATGCCATCAGGGTAATAATAGCGCAGGGCCAAGGGTCACGGCACAGTGTGCTGAGCACTTGACACTGGTCTCCTGTCAGAGCCTCCAAGAGCCCTCTGAGGAGAGCAGAGGCCAAGATGGGCAATCCCAGTGGGCAGATGAGGAACAGAGAGCCAGGACCAAGCTTTAGGGCTTGTTCTCTGTCTAGTACACCGTCCCTCCAGTCATATAGAAAGCAAGCTAGGGTAATTTTTGTTTCCATTTGATGATAAGAAGTGACTTGTCTCAAGCTGATGGCAGATGTGTCTTAAATCCAGCTTTTTTAATTATTTTTTTTAGGTGTAGATGGACACAACACAATGCCTTTATTTTTATGTGGTGTTGGGGATCAAACCCAGGGCCTCCCCTGTGCTAGGCGAGCGCTCTACTGCTGAGCCACAATCCCAGCCCCTTAAATCCAGCTTTTTACACTTCTTCTGACTCATTTCATTACCCTATACTGCCTCCATTCCATAAGTTTGCATCTCACACTCAAAAGAGAATAGAATGCAGAGTCTAAAGAAAAACAATAAATGGAGCAACTGTGTATCCAACACTGAGAGAATGAAATAGAACAGTGCTGGAATCTTTGCACCTATCTGAACTACACTTCCTCATTGCACTGTGACACCTGCCTAGTTAGGGAGGATCCCAAGGCCAGCAGGACCCTGGCACTATTACGTGAGTAAGGGTGTGGCATCACCCAGAAGGCCTGATATCAATATTTCTCAATCCTGGCCATGCATCAAGATCACCCAGGGAACTTGTTAGCTTCAGACATCTTCCCTTCACCTTGGGGAGCCAAGACCTAGGAATCGTAGTGCTCAGAAAGTGTCCTGTCTCATTGCTGGTCACAGTGTGGTCTCTGGACCTATCATCTTAGCCTAGTTAGCAGTGCAGAATCTGGGGCCTGCCCTCTGCCTCCTCTCAATAAGGGCCCCCTGAGATTCTGTGCACAGTAAGGATAAGAGAATTGCTTTCCCAGAGGATCCTAACATCTGTGGTTCTAGAAGCTTACGTGGGTCAAGGGTAGAAAGAGAAGTGCAGGAAAGGAACTTCATTCCTGACCCCAGGTCCGGCTCTCTTTCCAGGAACTCACTTCACTAAGTCAGGGAGGTACTTGGGCTTTTCTGTGTTTTGTTTTGTGACTACAAATGCAACACATGTTCATTGTAGAAAATTGTAGGGGGGGAACATAAGCAGAAAATATCCCACCACTCAGATAAAACTTGTTAACATATAAAAACATTTTTTCTTCCAAGTTTTTTTCTAAGCTTATGTACATTGCCCCCTGAAACTGAGAAAGCATGCTATACATATAGTTCCCGGCTGTTTTCATTGAACAATGTCTCATAAGCATTTCCCAAACCTTAACATTTTTTCAAAAATAATTCGAATGCCTATAATACTCCATCATAGGAATGCATCTATAATGTGATCCACCAGTTCCTACTGTTGTATATTTAAGTTCTTCGCAGTTGTTTGCTATTTCAGTTAACACTGCAGTGGTCTTTCCTGCTAACAAATACTTGCCTATGGCAGGCACAGTGGCTGAGCGCCTGTAATCCTAGAGGCTTGGGAGGCTGAGGCAGGAGGATCATGAGTTCAAAGCCAGCCTCAGCAATTTAGCGAGGCCCTAAGCAACTCAGCAAGACCCTGTCTCTAAATATATAAGAAAAAAAAAGCAGGAGCTGGGGATGTGGCTTAGTGGTTAAGCACCCCTGGATTTAATCCCTTGTACCAAAAAACAAACAAACAAACAAAAAATACTTGCCTATGAGTCTAATCATCTCCATGGGACCAGGATGGATAAGTGGAATTCCTGGCCTCAAGGTCAAGATGGAGCTCTTTTATGACCCTTTCTCCATCATTGTAATTTACTGTTTTTGAAACCATTCCCAAGTTGATGGATGAAAATTAACATGTTTTGTTGTGCATTTTTAAATTTCTTGGTCATTTTCAGTTTTTTTTTTTTTTTTTCTTTTTCTTTTTCTTTTTGATACCTGGGAATGAACTCAGCTTGGAGGTGCTTAAGTACTGACCCACATCCTAGTCCCTTTTATATGTTATTTAGAAACAGGGTCTCCCTGATTGGGCCTTGATAAGTTGCTGAGGCTGGCTTTGAACTCGTGATTCTCCTGCCTCAGTATCCCAAGCTGCTAGGATTACAGGCATGCACCATCATGACCAGCGGTCATTTGCATTTGTTGTCTGGATTTTCCATACATGCCTGTAAAGGCAAGAGCTTTTAAATGGCTTTCATTTTACATCAAGATAAAAGTCTCTGCACATATTTAAATTTTTGCTCTGGCCATATTTTACTAGTGCAGTCCTCATCACAGTACTGAGGTAAGACCATAGGGAAGGAATGTCCTTGAGAGAAGTTAAATTAATAATGGTAATATCAGTGAGTGATTAGCGTACCAAATACTTATTATATGCCTTTACTGTGCGCCAGGAGTTTTCAGACCTTACTCTTTCCCCTTCACAGCTGTCCTTCCACTTAGGGACTCTCTCCCCACTAAAGACAGGAACAAGCCTGACTCAGTGACGCACACCTGTAATCCCAGGAGTCTGAGGCAGGAGGATCATGGATTTATTTGTTTATTTATTTATTTATAAATATTTATTTTTTAGTTTTAGGTGGACACAATATCTTTATTTTTATGTGGTGTTGAGGATCGAACCCAGCGACCCACGCATGCCAGGCAAGCGCGCTACCGCTTGAGCCACATCCCCAGCCCGAGGATCATGAATTTAAAACCAGCCTTATAACGAGGCCCTAAGAAACTCAGTGAGACCCTGTCTCTAAATAAAACATTTAAAAAGGGCTGGGGGATGTGGCTCAGTGATTGGGCGTCCCTGGGTTCAATCTCCAGTACAAAAAAAAAAAACACGAAAAATCAGGGACAATAGAGGGCCACTGGGCTGGCAAGAGAAGGAGCTGAGATTCCAGCCAGCGATTGTGGTGTTAACTTTACTTGCTGTAGCGGATTCCCGAGGTCCGGTGAGGGGGCGGAGGAGCGCCCCCCTCTAGCGGGCCTCCCCTCTTGCTGCAGACGGGAAGCCCATCTCCACCGATGTCATCGTGCTGGGCCGCACCAACCTGCTCATCGCCAGCGCTCAGCCCCGGCACTCTGGTGTCTACGTCTGCCGAGCCAACAAGCCCCGCACTCGCGACTTCGCCACCGCCGCCGCGGAGCTCCGCGTGCTGGGTGAGGTGGGATCAAGGATGAGCGAGCAGTGTGGAGGAGGGGGACTGGAGTGGATCTGCCGGGCCTGAGGGGACACTAAGGAAGGGGAAGTAAGCAGGTGGACTTGTAGAGGGACGGAAGGATGCTCCTGGAGGATGAGAAAGGGTTAGGGAGGACGAGCTCATGGGAGGAGTCCTGGTGAGGAGGTAGATGGGGGTATGTTAAATAGTACCTGGAGGATGGAGTGGTGGGTGGAGTTGAGTGAGGGACAGGAGAAGGGGTCTCGGGCGTGGCTTGGGTGGATGCGTGGGGCGGGGGAGTACTGGAAGAGGTAGCAGAGCAGTCTGGGTGGTAGTAAGACTGGGCACCAGGCTTGTTCCGGCTTGGGATAACTGCAGAGAGGGCAAGAACTGTTAGGTGTGGGAGACGTTGGCAGGTAGAGGAGAAGGAGGTGGGTAAGTGAGGGCGTGGGGTTAGAGCCGGCAGGAGCGGAGAGTTTTAGTGGAGGCTCTAGAGTCCTGGGGACCATTCGGGAGAGGCCTGTGCGAGGTACCTGGGGCAGGCGGGATAGACCTGCGCTGGACTAGTTAGGGAGGGGTGAGTCTGGGACAGGTTAGAATGACTGGAGAAGGGAGTGGGGGCGGCACGGTAGGGGTAACGGGGGAAGGAATAGAGCCCCTAGTGGCAGGAGACCGTGGTCAGCGTTGTCCCTCCCGCCCCCAGCTGCACCTGCTATCTCTCAGGCGCCAGAGGCGCTGTCGCGGACACGGGCGAGCACCGCGCGCTTCGTGTGCCGCGCGACTGGGGAGCCCAAACCAGCGCTGCGCTGGCTGCACGACGGGGCGCCGCTGAGGCCCAATGGGCGCGTCAAGGTCCAGGGTGGCGGTGGCAGCTTGGTCATCACGCAGATCGGCCTGCAGGATGCTGGCTACTACCAGTGCGTGGCGGAGAACAGCGCGGGAACTGCGTGCGCCGCCGCGCCGCTGGCGGTGGTGGTGCGCGAGGGACTGCCCAGCGCCCCCACTCGGGTTACCGCCACACCGCTGAGCAGCTCCGCTGTACTAGTGGCCTGGGAGCGGCCCCAGCTGCACAGTGAACAGATCATTGGTTTCTCCCTCCACTACCAGAAGGCACGGGGTACGTCTACCCAAGTCCCCAGGGGCCCCAGCAGAAGCCTACGCCCTGCATATTAGGGAGCGAGCACAAGTTGGTTGACTGAAGGGTTTTCTGGTGGGTGCCTCTGGGGATGGGGTTGGAGCCCACAGAAGAGATCCACTTATCTGTTGGGGATCTTCAGCCAGGTGCTAGAGGGACGTTCAATGTAAGTGGGTCACTTCTCCTCTGCCACTTTTGATATAAGAGAAAGGAGAGGATGCTTCTCCTTTAGGGAAAATTTCTGGTAATTCCTGGAGCCACCTCCTACCCCAGTTAACTAACTGCAACAGGAATTATTTCAGTTAGACACCAGAAAGAACCTCACAGCCAGGGGAGAAACTAATACAATGAGAAGACTAGAAGCCAAGGGAGTTTATACTTTCCAGCTCAGAGTATCTGGGATGATTTAGCTATAAATAGACTATTAGAGATGGAGATGCTACGGAATATCTCTAGACACACTCCCGATGGCCAGGGCCTAGGGTGGCCCTTTGATAGTCCCATTGTCCCTTGTGTTACCACCCAGGCATGGACAATGTGGAATACCAGTTTGCAGTGAACAATGACACCACAGAGCTACAGGTTCGGGACCTGGAACCCAACACAGATTATGAGTTCTACGTGGTGGCCTACTCCCAGCTGGGGGCCAGCCGCACCTCCACCCCAGCACTGGTGCACACCTTGGATGACGGTAGGGCCTCCGAACCTGTAGCTGGCAGCCTGGGGTCCAGAGAGCTCCCTGGGGTCGAGGGGGTGGCTCCCCTTCTCTTTACTAGGGTTGCACCAAGGCACTTTTGCCTGCCTGTGTCATCTTTTGTGCCCTATAAGGGAGTATGCAGGGTCTCTAAATTGGGGAAACTGAAGCCCAGCAAATGAGAGTGACTTGCCCAAGGTCAGTAGTACAGCTGGGACTTGAGCCCAGGACTTGGGATTCCCCATATCATACAGTCCTTCTCCCTGACACCCATGTACTATCCAGCTAGGGGAAGGGCCAGGGGCATTGAGCCACTGAATGGGAACATTGTGCCCCACACCATTATCTAGCTTCAGGGTGGGAAGAATGTCCCCTTATCCTCCAGCTTAGGGCTCCCCTGAGAGGCTCCCTTTCCTCCCTCAGATCCTGGTCCTGGGCCTACTTCTGACTTGCTGTGTGACCTGGGCAAGTCTCTGGCCGCTCCTGAGTCTCACCTCCCACGACGGTGGAGCAGAGCTCATGCTGATGTTCTTCTGTCTCAGTCCCCAGTGCAGCGCCCCAGCTTGCCCTGTCCAGCCCCAACCCCTCGGACATCAGGGTGGCGTGGCTGCCCCTGCCCCCCAACCTGAGCAATGGGCAGGTGGTGAAGTACAAGATAGAGTACGGTTTGGGAAAGGAAGGTGAGTGGCAGGCAGGGGCAGGGTGGTTGGGAGTTACTCAACGGTCTGAGCTGCTGGAGAGTTGAACAGAGGGGGAGCCTGAGGGGTGGTGGAGTGGGGAAAGCCGACCCTGGGAAAGAGCAGCGTGTAATCCCAGCTCGGGAGGCTGAGGCAGGAGGATCGCGAGTTCAAAGCCAGCATCAGCAAAAGCGAGGCCCTAAGCAACTCAGTGAATGAGACTGTCTCTAAATAAAATTCAAAATAGGGCTGGGGATGTGGCTCAGTGGTCGAGTGCCTCTGAGTTCAATACCCAGTACCCCCTCCCCCCAAAATAGAGCAGCCTGGGCTGGGGGTGGGGTCAGCAGGGATGAGAAGGGCAGGCAAAGAGGCTGCTCAAGGCCAAGGGAGGCCTGGGGTCTAGTCCTACCTCCTCTGCAGCTGCAATGTGTAGTCCATTTGGGTCTCTGTTTCCTCATCTATGAAAGGAGACACAGGTAATCCTTGGAATCCTTCTGGCTCAAAAAACAGATTAGAGATGAGGAGGTGGAAGGTGTGCTCTTGGGGCTTGGAAAAATGGATACAGAGGGCTGTGTTAGGGCAGATGGAGTCATATAGGGAAGGGGCTCGGAAGGGGTAGAGATAGGAGAAGGAAAGTAACTGGAAGTCCAGGCTAAGGGCGAGGAGGGAGGAGAAGGTAATTCTCAGGGCTCTAGAAGCCAGGTGGTAGTTGATGGCCTTCCTGGCCAGCCTTGAGTCTGCATTCTGGTGTGTGTTGAGGGGTCATTGATAGCCCACAGGTAAGGGGAGAGCATGCCTGGTTCTCTGCATGCTTGCTGGACTACATCAGCCAGAGCTGAGGCCCAGGAGTGGGCCCTGGAGCCTGGAGTCTGACCAGGTTCGGAGGGCCTCAGGCCCCAGCAGGCACGGAGGAACCAGGATCTGAAGTGGAAGAGTCAGTGTAGGGAGCTTAGAGGTCATGGTCCCCAGGTAATAGCCAGCAGCCCATCTTTCTTGTCCCAGCAGATCAGATTTTCTCCACTGAGGTGCCAGGGAACGAGACTCAGCTTATGCTAAACTCCCTTCAGCCAAACAAGCTGTACCGTGTGAGGGTGTCGGCGGGCACTGGGGCCGGCTACGGGGCCCCCTCACCATGGATGCAGCACAGGACACCCAGCGTGCACAACCAGAGCCATGGTATGGGGCTGGAGGGAACAGAACAGTGAGTGTGGCAGTGTGGGTGTGACAGTGTGAGTATATGTGTGCCCTTGGACCCCAAGACCTCACCACCCCATCCATCAGAGGCCTTCTATAGCTCCCTCTGCTTCACAGGTAAGGGAAGCCAGGGTGAAGGGCTGGGCCCTAGTGTCCTTTCTGTCTACCCTTTGACCTTGGACAAACCATTCACAACTCTTAAGCTTCATTTACTGATGAGACATGGCACATGGATTAATAATTAACGTATCATAAATGACTTGCTTAGAACCTCAGGAGAACCCGTTAGGTGGCAGCTGCTTTGGTGATTATGATTGTTGTTTTCCTGGAGAGGCCCAGTAATAGAGTGATTAAGTGCAGACAAAACCTGGCACACATACTATCTGACACTGGGCAAGTTACTTAACTTCTCTGAGCATCGGTTTTCCTATTTGTAAAATGGAGATCATAGTGTTTGCTGAGCTGGGGATGAAGCTCAGTAGTAGAGTGCTTTTGCCTAGTGTGCACAAGGTCCTAGCTTCAATCCCCAGTACTTTAAAAACAAAGGGTTTTTTTTTTTGTTTGTTTTATAAGATTATAAGAATAAAGTTAAAATACACATGCAAAGTGCTTTAAACAGTGTCTGACCCATAGTAAGCCCCCACTTTGGGTTCCAAGTGGGACTCCCAACTCTGATGGCTCGCCTTCTCCTTCCTGGTTTCTCTAGCCCCTTGCCGGAATTTGCTCCTTCAGGAAACTTACAGAGCCTCCTCTGTGCCAGACAAAGGTGCCCCTCAATGCCCCTTGGCAAATGCTCAGCAGGCCCCTGCACTCCGAGCTCTGCCTGAGTCCAGGTGCCAGCTGAGTGGAGCCATGCTGGGGAGACACTGCGAGGCTCCCTGGAACCCCATCTCCCTGCCTCTTCCCTGGCCCCTCCCCCCACCACCCCGGTTTCTTTCTCTGCATTCCTCATTCTCCCTCCTTTTCCCCATCCTGCTCTTCTGTCCCCAGTCCCTTTTGCCCCTGCAGAGTTGAAGGTCCGGGCAAGGATGGAGTCTCTGGTCGTGTCATGGCAGCCACCCCCTCACCCCACCCAGATCTCTGGCTATAAACTGTACTGGCGGGAAGTGGGGGCCGAGGAGGAAGCTGGTGGTGACCGCCCCCCAGGGAGCCGCGGAGACCAGGCTTGGGACGTGGGGCCTGTCAGGCTCAAGAAGAAAGTGAAGCAGTATGAGCTTACCCAACTAGGTGAGGAGCCTGGGGACGGGGACGGGAGGCGGGGACAGGACTGCATCAGGGACCAGACACAGGGCGGAAGAGGGGACAGTGGCTGCAGAGTCCTTCTAGCCAATGAGTGACCCTGTGACCTTCCCCAGTCCCTGGCCGGCTGTACGAGGTGAAGCTTGTGGCGTTCAACAAATACGAGGATGGCTACGCAGCAGTGTGGAAGGGCAAGACGGAGAAGGCACCCACGCCAGGTGAGGGTGCTGGGGAGGAGGGGCGGTGGCAGGGGAGGGGCCTGCGGGCCGCTTGCTGCCCTCTCCCCTGGGCCAGTCTGACCAGCAGGGCAGGCAGGGTGGTAGCCTCAGCTCACTCTGAAGCCCATCTTCCTAGGTAGCGGTCCTCTTCCTGGCCAGGCTAAAGAGAGCCCCAGCCCCTGCTCGTTCGCTGTATTTCAGGCCTGTTGCCTCTTTTTCTTTTTCTTTTCTTTTCTTTTTTTTTTGGGGGGGGGTATTTTTTGGGATTGAATTCTGGGCACTCAACCACTGAGCCACATCCCCAGCCCTATTTTGTATCTTATTTAGAGACAGTGTCTCACTGAGTTACCTAAGACCTTGTTAAGTTGCTGAGGCTGGCTTTGAATGCATGATCCTCCCGCCTAAACCTCCCAAGCCGCTGGGATTACAGGTGTGCACCACCACATCCGGCAGGCTCAGTGATTCCTGAGCCCAAGTTTGGCCTTAAAAAAACTTTTCAAACACATCCACCCACATCACACCATCTATCTGATCATCTTTCCACTCTGGACAGGGAGAGTGTCCCTGTGTGCTCTACAGGGAAACCAAGGCTCAGAGAGGTAGGCTTGTCCCAGGTCACACACAGCTGAGACCAGACAGATTCCTGGCTCCGAGGTGGGTCTTTCTGCTGTGTTGCACTGCTCTGTAGCCCTTGGTTGCCGGTCATGGTACTTCCTCACCCCTGACTTCCAGGCTGATTTTCAGCCATGTGGTAGAGCAGGAAAAGTGCTCAAGAGAAGCCAAGAAACCTGGGTTCTAATTCCAGTTTGTTCATTTATTCATTCAGCAATTTTTTTACTGAGTATCTACTACCTGCCAGCTCTGTTCTGGGAATTTAGTGATGATCAACACAAATAAGGTACCTGCTGTCATGGAGTTTATTCTATTTTATGTTTATATAATAAACACTTATCATCAAATAGTACATACTGTGTGCCAGACACTTTCCTATCTGCTTTATAAATATTAATGAACTGAGTCCTCATAACAACCCCATGAGGTAGGTACTATCATCAGATGCACTTACAGAATAGGGAATGGAGGCACAGAGAGATTAAGTAACTTCTCTAAAGTCACATAGCTAGTAAGTGGCAGAGCTGGAATTTGAACCAAGGCAGCCTAGCTCTAGAATCTGCACTCTTCTTAAGCCACAGTATGCTGTCTCTCTATGTATACATTGCATTCTTATGTCCTATATCTGCTATGTGTGTGCCCTTGACAAAAATCACTTAGATTGTTGGGAGTCTCAGTTTTGTTACCTGTAGGATCAAAAGAAAGGGCCCAAGGGCAAGCCTCAGGGACTGTGACCGCTATACAGTGGGGGGAGTGTCCTCTCTCCCTTCCCCACACTCTAATCTTCCCCTTCTAGACCTACCCATCCAGAGGGGGCCGCCCTTGCCCCCCGCCCACGTCCATGCAGAATCAAACAGCTCCACGTCTATCTGGCTCCGGTGGAAAAAGCCAGACTTCACCACAGTCAAGATTGTCAACTACACGGTGCGCTTCAGCCCCTGGGGGCTGAGGAACGCCTCCCTGGTCACCTATTATACCAGGTGGGGAGGAGGGACTGATGCTGGGGAAAGTGGGGGGCCAGGGGACACGGGACCCTGGGGTTCAGAGACGGCTCACCTGTTTCCACTATGGCGCGCTGAAGGTCTGCGGGGCCCACTGCCTTGCCTGTGGACCAGAAGGTGACGGGTGAGAAAGGAGAGGCTGTTTGACCATCTCCTCAGGACAGAGCATTGGTCTCCACCTTTGGAGAATGGCCACAGAATCAACTTGCTTCTCCAGCCTCCAGGGGCTCCTGTCTGCAGGGAGAAAGCCCTGCCACTGTCCTCAGAAACCCACCCTCAGAGAGATGGGAGGCAGCTTGAGGAGCTGTTCCTTTGACAAACACTGCATTAAAAGCCCCTGATGTCTGGGGCTGGGGTTGTGGCTCAGTGGTAGAGTGCTTGCTTGCCTGGCATGTGTGAGGCCCTGGGTTCCGTTCTCAGCACCACATATAAATAAATAAAATTACAGGTCCATCAACAACTGAAATATATATATATATTTAAAAAAAATTTTTTTTGATGTGTACAATTGCCACTAAGGCAGAATTAAGCCAAGATGGAGAAACGGTTCCTGGGGTGGGGAAATTAACTGGATTAATTCAGGAAGGCTCTCTGGAGAGGGGGGGTCTGGCTTGGAGATTAGAAGTGGAGGGACATCCATCCCCACCTCTCTGTAGGTCCTCTGGGGTGTGTTTGTGGCCCTAGGCCAGGCCAGCTCCCTTTCCAGAGCAAGGCCTAGGGCTGGGGGCTGGGCCTTGGGGGCAGGCAGGGGCGAGGCCTGCTGGCAATGCCCAGAGCACTAGCCAGCTCCTGCCCCACAGCTCTGGAGAAGACATCCTCATTGGCGGGCTGAAGCCTTTTACCAAGTACGAGTTTGCGGTGCAGTCTCATGGAGTGGATGTGGACGGGCCTTTTGGCTCTGTGGTGGAGCGCTCCACCCTGCCTGACCGTGAGTGGTCTCAGCCCCTCGCCACCAGCCCACCTCCTGCCTCTCTCCTTCTTGCTCCCGTGGCCCTCTTTTCTGAAGCATCTCTCAGAATCTCAAGGTCTGGGCAGAGCTGAGTGGAGGAGAGCTTCAGAGAGGGGAGGAGCTGAGGAGCACTGCCCCTGCCATTCTCAGGGACTCCCCAACTAGAGGCCAGAGCTCATCCCGGCTGTGTGGCTTGCTCCATGAGGGAGGAGGGGGGCGGACTGTCATCCCCTGACTCCCTTGTCCGCAGAGCTGGGCTTCCAGTGGCCCTGCTCTCATCCCTCCCCTGCACTCCAGGGCCCTCGACGCCACCGTCTGACCTGCGCCTGAGCCCTCTGACGCCATCCACTGTTCGGCTGCACTGGTGTCCCCCCACGGAACCCAATGGTGAGATCGTGGAATATCTGATCCTATACAGCAACAACCACAGCCAGCCCGAGCACCAGTGGACACTGCTCACCACCGAGGGTGAGGGCCCCTGCCCAGCCCACCCCCACTCCAGCAGCCGGGCTCTCGAGGAGAGCAGCACCGAAGCCATTCTGGGGCTTCTGGGATTAACAGGGAGCCTCTGCTGCCCAGTGAAAGGCCGACTTCTCAGCCCTGCACCCCACCCCACCCACCCATCACCCTGCTCTCCCACTTCCCCCACCCCAGGAAACATCTTCAGTGCTGAGGTGCATGGCCTGGAGAGCGACACCAGGTACTTCTTCAAGATGGGGGCACGCACAGAGGTGGGCCCTGGGCCCTTCTCCCGCCTGCAGGATGTAATCACTCTCCAGGAGAAGTTCTCAGGTAGGAGGGTCTGGAGGAAGGAGGACTACCTACCCTGGGGCAGCCAGGTCCCCAGCAGCTCCTGGAGTAGACTTCCAAGCCCCTGCCTCTGGGTACAACTACTCAACTCTCAGTTTGGACAGCTGCCCTCCTGGTTGGTTGGGAGCAGGTTGAACTGGAAGGGAGAAAGTGGTAAGGTGGTGACTTGGTTGAGAGGCCAGCTTCCTAGCAGACTGGTGTGGCTTAGAGACCATTTCTTTGAGAGATTGCTTTTGATTGGTGGATTGGCTTGGCCAGGTGATGAGCTTTTTGGCTGGAGGTGGGTGGGACTGGCTAAGTGACTTTCAGGGCTCAGTGTAAAATGATAATCCAGGGCTCTTCATTTTAAAAAATTACAAATTTAAGCTGAGCGTTGTGGTGCACGCCTGTAATCCCAGCGGCTCAGGAGGCTGAGGCAAGGGGATCACGAGTTTAAAGTCAGCCTCAGGAAAAAGCGAGGTGCTAAGCAACTCAGTGAGACCCTGTCTCTAAATAAAATACAAAATAGGGCTGGGGTTGTGGCTCAGTGATCGAGTGCCCCCCCAGTACCCCCCGCAAAAAATTATGAATTTTAAGATGATGACCACAGAGCGTTAAGCCACGTGGGCCCGAGGCAACTGCACACCATGAAGCAAGATCTAGCGGGCAGGCAGGCGGTTCACTGAATTGAAAGGCCAGTTTGATGTGAACAGACCACAGCCTGTGGATGTGTGGGGTGGGACCACCAGGCGGGTGGTGGTGGGCCGTGTGAGGGTGTAGGGCCCTCCTGTCTTTGCATGAGAAGATCGCAAGCTGCTGAAAGCTGAAGCCAGTGGTCTCCTGTGGAAGCTCGAGTCATCCTGATTTGTGAGCCACTGCCTTTCTCCTGTATTTGACTATCTCTGTTCCGTTTTTGTCCCACCAGACTCCTTGGATGTGCACTCAGTCACAGGCATCATCGTGGGTGTCTGCCTGGGCCTCCTCTGCCTCCTAGCCTGCATGTGTGCTGGCCTGCGACGCAGCCCCCACAGGTGGGCAAGGACACCTATCTGACCAAAGACAGATTTCCAGAAAGGGCTGCAGAATGGGCAAACAGGGAAAGTCACCAGGATCCCCATTAAAGTTAGGACTTGGGGAGCTGGAGGCCAAGCTTGGGGGTAGAACACTTGCCTAGCATGTAGGTGTGAGGCCATGTTTGAACCCAAGCATTGCAAAAATTAAATTAAATTAGATAGGACTCTAGGATGAAGGGACATGGGAGTGGTGGGAGATGTTCTTATAAGAATGGGGGTGGGCTTAGGGAGTCTCCCAGTCAGCAAGGACAGACCAAATCACCTTGCTCATGCTTCCAACATCTTGGAAATAAAGGCCCCAGACTTCCATATTTCTGGAGCTGGGGTAGAAGGAACCCTGTCGGGCTGTTTGGATAATAGTTGTTCCCTACTCTTTGTGTAGATTGGAAAACAGGGCCCAAAGGTAGGCAGGAACCTGGCCTGAGAAATAGCAGGGCTGGATGCCAGTCCCAGCCCACTCTCCACTCTGACCACTGGGCCTTGTTTCCCATCTTGCCTTCCAGGGAAGCCCTCCCAGGCCTGTCCTCCACGGCCACAGCTGGGAACCCAGCGCTGTACTCTAGAGCCCGGCTGGGCCCACCTAGTCTCCCTGCTGCCCATGAGCTGGAGTCCCTTGTGCACCCCCGGCCCCAGGACTGGTCCCCACCACCCTCAGACATGGAAGACAAGGCTGAAGTGCACAGCCTTATGGGTGGCAGCATTTCGGACTGCCGGGGTCACTCCAAGAGAAAGGTAGACTGAAGTCTAGTTTACATCAGAGACCCCCGCTCCTGCTCATTCCCAAATAGGACACCAGAGGGCGCCAAAGCACAACGTGTGACTGCAAGGGTCACCAGCCCCCACACCACACATACCCAATTGCAAAAGAGGCACATTCTCCCCTCTCCATCAATGATTGGCAGAACCAGGAAGCAGGTGGGTCTCCATTCCCGCAGAATATGCTGGCCTGCTTCTCATCAAGGGGAAAGTCATTGTTTGCAGGTGACTGGAGCTGGCCAGAACACCCAGATCCCTCTTCGTCCCCAGAGCTGGGAGCCTTCTTAAGACTGAGGAGGGAGAAGAAGCTGGTCAGCTTGTCTGTGGCCAAGTGGGACCAAGATAAGGGCAGGCCCCTGAAAGATAGAGCTCCCCCACACTGGCAGTGGTCACTCATCTCAGCCAGCTGACCCAGTCCTTCCCTCACCTCCCTGCCAGGCTGGTATTAGGCTGTCTACAGAGGGGCTGCATCTGCAAACTCTCCCACTCACACACGGCCTTCCTGTGCTTCACCCCGTCCTTGGGAAGGGGCTTTAGCAGGGAACCTGTGGTCAGGGAGATAGAAGGGGGCCAGGACTCTGGGCTCTGCTTCTCCATGGTCCCATCTACTTCCCTCCTTCGTGCTTCCCTCTCCCAGCCAATCCCCATCACGCTCCTCAGTGTCCTCTTCTTTCTCCTGTGCAGATCTCCTGGGCTCAGCCAGGTGGGCCAAGCTGGGCAGGTTCCTGGGCCAGCTGCGAGCTGCCCCAGGTGGGCCCCAGGCCTGCTCTGACCCAGGCCCTGTTGCCCCCTGCTGGAACTGGACAGACGCTGTTGCTGCAGGCTCTGGTGTATGATGCTATAAAGGTCAGTATCCTGGGAATAAGGGTTAGAAAAGGATCTGGATATTATCATCATCTTGGTGGGACACTTCCTGTTTCCTTTTCCACTTCTCATATGATACATACCCTGATGTAGAGTCAGTCTCTCTCTGTTCCACATATGTGGTTCTTGTTTCTGATCATTCTCAGTGATGGTCCCTGGTCTTTGTGTTCTGTGCTCTAACCAGGGTAATGGGAGGAAGAAGCCACCCCCAGCCTGCGGAAACCAGGTGGAGGCCGAGGTCATTGTCCACTCTGACTTCAGTGCATCCAAAGGGAGCCCTGACCTCCATCTCCAAGACATAGAGCCTCAGGACTCTCTGCCTGCAGAGGCTTCTGGCCTCTCCTCTGGTGTTGTGGATCTCAGGCCCCAGGCAGACTGGCTAGACAGGGAGCTGGAAGGCTGTGAGCAGACAGCCACTGGACCAGACAGACTTACCTGCTTGCCAGAGGCAGCCAGTGCCTCCTGCCCCTATCCGGATCTCCAGCCCAGTGAGGCTCCGGAGGAGGCTTGTGGGAACAGCTGCCAGCCCAAAGCCCCCTGCTCTCCAGGAGCCAGCCCAGGCCTGCCCAGGGTCCCTGTCTCCTCCTCTGCTTAGCTCCCCTAAGCAGAAGGTGCAGTCTAAGCAGGCTAATATGGCTCATGGTACATGACATGCATGGCCATGCCTATACACATGTGTACCTGCAGATATCATCAAGCCCTTTGGAGCCTCCTAGGATGCTTTGGCTGGGGGGAGAGGAAGAATTGGATCATTCACTCCCCCCACACTCTTTGTGACACACATGTGATAAATATGTGAGAGACATGTGAGACACAGCTACGTGTGATGTGCACATGTGTGAAGCCACATGTGTGTGTACTGGTTGGTGAACTGGGAAACCCTGGCTACCATAATGGTGATTATGGCCTAATCGATTCTCCAGGTCAGAACAGTATCCCAGAGTGGTTAGTCCCCATCCCTGTGGGCTCCCACCTCTGTCACCCAGCCTTTTATTACACACTCTGCGAGTGTCTCCAATGCCCTGTCTGACAAAGACGGCCCCAGCCCACTCTCCTGTCTGGCTGGGCTGAGTGCAGTAGGCTCTGAATGCCTGACATTTTAGCCACACCGCCTTCACCTCCCATCACCCCATGACCCAAATTTAGAGGGTGACACGGGCTCCACTCAGAGCAACTCTGTGTCTGATTTTATAATTTGGGAAGTGCCTGGCTTTGGAAATCTATATTCTTTTCCCCACTCCCTTCCTTTCTCCCCCTTCCCTGCTCTAGTGATCTATCTCTAGATAGTTTGCTCTCTGGGTTCCAGTTCCAGTGTCCTCTTCCCAGTGAGGTCTCCCTTTCCTCTCTCGTTTCCCTTTGTCTGTCTCTCTTATCCCTCATGTCTCTCCAGACTGTGCCATCCAGTTCTGCCTGGCTTCAACCTCTGCACCCTTCCCTAACAACATGGCTACCTCATGTCTGCTTCAGGCCACAGCATGACTCCTATGTCAGCCACATTCCCCTGAACACACACCCCTCCCTCCACCTCTTCCCCCACTTCCTCTGCTCGGTCCTCCTCCACCGGCCCCCTCCCCAGGTAGACCACCCGCCCCCAGGGCAGGTTTGGAGAAGACCTAGCTTCCACTTCCTCTTTCTCCTTGGGCCTGGGATGGGAGGGTTCTCCATAGAGCTGATGAATCCAAGTCACAAGGGAAGTTTTGAGGCAGAAGGGAACTATGACCCAGAAGCTTGGAATATAGGGATTTCCTCCGTTCCATTCAGGATGGAGGTGGATTGTTACCTTTCTTCCCTCCTGAAGCTGAAAGGGGAGAGGGGAGCTGGAGTAAGGGGGGCAGCCCAGCAGCTTGCACCCCACCCCAGCACATTGAATGGGACTGGATCTAGGTAGGGGGACTGGAGTCTCTTCCTCCAGGAGGCTGGAAGGGAGGTCTTTCATAGGAAAAGTGGGTTTGGCTTATTTTACTATTTTTTTCTTTCTTTTTTTTTTTTTTTTTGAATCCTGAAGTAATTTTCTATTGACCCGTTGCACAGGGACAAGCTTGACTTCTGTTTCCTGTGCAGTGAAAACCCTGTCATTTATTTGATTTTTCACCTCAGCCCTCTCAGGAGCATAGAATGTGGGGTCTCTTGCTCCCTAACTGCGTCTTTTTAACTGATCTGCACATCAAGAGTTAACTCTGACTTCTGGGCCAAATTAGAAATAAGCAGTCTATCTTTCTTTTCTTTCCGTCTTTTTTTTTTTTTTTTTTTTAACGTTGAAATGTCTCTCAGTGGAGCTGCAGCCTCCTCAGCTCCTGAATGCATCTGTGTTTATTACACTCGGGTGTCACTCACGGTTGACATCCTCACCTACATTTCCTCCTCCTCCCCTCCTTCAGCCAGCCTATGATAACACTAAAGATTATTAATGTCGGTTTTGTATCTCGTTAAAGACAGAATTGTCACTTATACTCTTTCTGCAGCATTCAGCTTTGCCGTAGCCGACGCCACTGTGTATGTTTCATCGTTGCTGTGAAGGTCAAAAGCCTCATTTTATTTTCCTGGTTTGATTTTTTTTTTTTTTTAAGAAAAAAACTGCTCTGAATTAAATGGCTGTTTTAACAGTAGGCTCTTAGCATTACACCACATAGTCATTTTTCATGTTCTTGTTTAACAGGCACTGAGGTTCTGGTTTAAATTAAATAGCTGCAAATGAGACAATTTATAACCCATTAGGTTAGGTGGAAAATTGTTTCTCAAAAGCAAATAAGTAATAAATCTGGTATCTGCCTATAACTCACAGTTGATAAGAAAGTGGCCATTACTCACTAGCATTATATATGATTTGGGCTCTGGGTAATTTGGAAGTGTTAGGTTTGTGTCTTTGTAGCAGTATTTTTATTAGAAAAGAGTCTATTGGCCTTTTATAGGGTATTAATCCCTTTGTCACCTACCATTGATGCCTTAAGTTTTTTGAGTCTCATTTAAAAATCTTCCTTTTCTTGATGCATGACAAGTGTAATCGGTACTTGCTCATTTATTTGTCTATATTTAGTTTATGATGTATTATTTAATTATTTTTCCAGCATTTTTTTCCTTATGAATATGATATTCTTTAGTGTTAAGCTAAGGCATTGATCATGTATCTACCCCCGTAATGAATTAATAAACTATTTTCCAGACGTATGTTATTCTTTATGGAACTAATGTTTCGAATTCTCTCAGCTTTTCTACCCTGGGGAGTTCATTTCCTACAAGGATAGGAAATGGTGGTTTTTTTTAAGGGTAGAGAAAATGTTCACAAGAAAGAACTAACCCATCTCCTCCCCTCAACAGGCACTTAAGAAAAAGATTTAAGTTTAGGAAAAGGGGCTGGGGGTGTAACTCTTTGGTAGAGCACTTGCCTATCATAAGCATTCAAAAGGCCCAGTGTTAAACACCCCTCCCCACACAAAGAAACCATGAGGGAAGATGTGTTCTTTGATGGCATGCAAACTCTCTGGGGACCTCTCTGCATCTGGGCACACACTTTCCTGAACTTTCTTAGGTACAAGGAAAGAGCTGTGGGTTCCACAACCATTCTTTATAGCTGGTCATCAAAATTACTGATGCCTGCACATTCACACACATGGGCACTATGTCTGTGAGCTCAGATTCACAGATGCATAGTCACCTACACAAACACGCTGGTGTCCATTAACTCAAGTGCATACACAGTCTGACATCCAGAACTTCACACTCACACCCCAAGCACATCTCAGGATCACAGCTGGCAGCTGCTCCAGGCTCTATAAAGAGCCAGGAATGGATTTTTCTATTGGAAGAAACCAAGAGCCAGAGACTGTCCTGACCAGGACCACCCCCAAAGTGGCGGGTGGGCCAGACCCAGAGTTAATTGACAGATCATACAGAGAGATACTGCACATTTTGCATGCAATAGAATAGCCATTATTTGCATATCACTCTCAGACCAAGCGTTGTGATAAAGAAGAATTAAACACTTGTCAAGATGAATTTAAAATGACAACAATTCAGGACACCAATTTGACCTCTCAGAGCCTAGGACATGTCAAGAAGGGGTTGTTGAGGATTCAAGCCCTGCAGGGGAGTAGTTCCAGGACTTTAGGCCTGGGAGGTCCCTCTTTCCCTACCTTTCCTATGGCCAGTAGAGGCCTCACTTGCCAATTCTCACAATGAAATCCATTTGGGGCTATGACACACTGGGTCCCTGACCTTGAATTTCTCCATCGCCTCCCACTGCTCACATGCCTTACGTCTTGTTTCTCAGGCTCATCTTCCAGTTTCTACTGGAGAGTGAGGAGTCCCTGTGCTGTACAAACCCTCTCATTAGCAGACTTGTCCATGTAAAAGCAGTCTGATTTCTGCAGGCATTTACCACCAAAAATGACTTTATATAACACTCCTAGTTCCAAGGGTCCAGAGTTAATATCAAAAGACAGACTTAAGGCTTGCACAATGATGCACACCTGTAATCTCAGCTACTCACGATGCCAAGGCAGGAGGATTGCAAGTTTGAAGCCACTCTGAACAAGTTAATGGGACTGTATCTCAAAATAAAATAAAAGGGGCTGGGTTTGTGGCTCAGTGGTAGAGCACTTGCCTAGCAAGTATGAGGCACTGGGTTGAATTCCCAGCACTGCCAATCCAATGGCAGAGGAGCAAATAACCGAGTGAAGCCAGAGCTCCAGGGCTAGCAAGAATACATTTGCCCTAAGAGACATGCTTGCCTTCTGTAATATTCTCATAGGCACCTTTGTTATCGTCTTATGTTTTCTGACACGAAACATCAGAATCTGTGTGGCACAGAGATGTTATTGACAATTTTAATTTTCAGTGTGCTTTCCCAGTTACTAAATCATTTGTCCAGGCCTGTGCCATTTAAAGGTCTCCTGGGTCGTGTAGGAGAGATATGATTATCTTCACCTTTCAGACAAGCTCAGTGAGTGATTTCCTGGGCCAGGCAGCAGGCAAAAGTGGGGTGGATCCTGTTGGGTCTGTTCTTCTCAGGCAATCTACCCAAGATTGAGGAGTTGCCTTAACTCCTAGTCTAGGAAAGCCAGTCTTGCGGCAGAACGACCTATGCTTTGAGTTTGAGAGGAAAGACCAGGTGCCCACGGAATTCTCAGTCTCTGACAACTTTGAGTAGCTTCTAGGGAATTAGCCCTAAAATAAAGTCTTGGATACATTGGAGGAGGGCGCAGCAGAAAGAGTGGGTCAGAGTAAATCCCGCAGCTTTGCGTGTTTCTTCTCAGCCCTGACGTGTTCCGCTGGGTCTATACTTCTCCAGACGCTCAAGTCCGGGACTGGCGGGCCGCGAGGGGACACAGGGCTACAGCCCGAGACGGCGCCGGCCGCTCCAGCCACAGTTCAAAGCGCAGGGGGCGCGTCCGCCGCGCAGCCGGGAATGTCCGGCCGCTTAAAGCGCTCGCCGGCTCTTTTGTTCCCCAGACCCGGCCTCCGGGGAGAGGGGGCTGGGGGAGGGGACCCGGAGGGGAGAGAAGGGGGGCGGCGGGCAGAGGAGGAGGGCGGGGCGGGCGCGGGCGGTGCGAGTGCGGAGCGCGCACCCCGGGCGAGGCTGACAGATCGCCGGAGTGG